ACGAGGCCAAATTATGACAATTAATCCATTTTTATAAGGATATCAACTAAGCTTCAATCAATTAGGTAGTAATTTTATTAAGAGGGACGGACCAAGTCACAATTCCTGATGGTGCTCTACCCCACGCCCGTTATCCAGCGTGCAAGTCACCTCACATAGCACTACGATGTGCAAATTCAGGGTTTCAAACACTCAACACAGCATTTACATCTATTACTAACCTCAAGCTGGCCAAAATCCTAGCTCGCTATGCTCTTTCCTCTCAAATCGACCTCCTCGCGCGTCGAATCTGACCAAACCACAACGAATACGTCACATTATGCTATAGGATCAATACCCAATCGAAAATAATCGAAAAACATCAATAATCCCGAAATTGACAAAACCCGAGCCCCGGGCCTACTTCTCGAAACTCAGAAATTTTTACAGAAAAGTGTTCTTCATCTTCTCCCGATTCCGTACATATAAAGAACACCAAAATCGGAGTCCGTTTGACCCCTCAAATCGATCCCTAAAGGTCTCATAATCTCAGGCCCCAAAATCCTATTTTTCTACTGTTTTTCATGAATTAAAGGCTGGGAGTATGGTCTATAATCACCCATAAACGAGTTTTAATAATCAAATCATTTACCTCTGTGATATCCACTGATTTTCTCTCTTAAAAATCGCCTTAGAAGCTTCTTCCCGTTCAAAAATTGGAGGAAAACTCGATCTGCTCATTATAGGTATACTGTTCACGCGTTTTACTGCTCCCAATGGATTCTTTGTAAAATTCTAATGAACTTAGGCTTTTGAATCACTCAATTTGACCTTATAATGAAGGAGATATGTAGGTTTTAAGATTTGCAAATAGTGCAGGTTTTTAATACGCCGTCAGGGGCAATTTCATCATTAACCTGAAAATCTGGGCAACCTTGGTAAAATGGCCATAAAATCCTCATACGATGTCCAAATTCGAGGATTCTTTTTGCTACGGGTCTGTAATTATGATACGGATCTAATGCTTCATTCAAAACAATAATCGAAGCTCATTTGTTCAATATGATATCATTTATGCTTGAAGAAACGACGTCGAAGCATAAGAAAAACGAGCACAACGCAGCCCAAACCTATCCGAAACTCACCCGAGCTCCTCGGGACCGCATACGAACATACTAACACGTCACATATGATCATTCAAACTTAGTTGCACTCTCAAAACACCAAAACTAACATCAAAACACCAAACTTACATCGGATTCAAGCCTAAGTTCTTCTAAAACTTCCGAAACACGCATTTGATCAAAACCCCAACCAAATCACCTCCGAATAACCTGAAATTTTGCACACACATCCCAAATCACCTAACGAAGATACAGCAACTCTCGGAATTCCATTCCGACCCTCGGATCAAAATCTCACCTATCAACCGGAATTCGCCAAAATACTAACTTCGCCAATTCAAGCCTAATTCTACACCGGACCTCCAAAATCACTTCCGATCACACTCCTAAGTCACAAATCATCCCCCGAGCTAACCGAATCGTCGGAATCCACATCCGAGCTCTCTAACTCATAGGTCAACATCCGGTTGACTTTTTCAAAACAAGCCCTCCTCAAAGAGACTAAGTGTCTCATTTCCTTCCAAAAATCAACCCAATTCAACTCGTTCACACAAGACACTGATAATGAAGCATAACGACGCACGAAATGGAGAAAACGGAGCGGTTCTCACGGGACGACGGATCGGGTCGTCACATCCATGTACACATGAATATGTCCATGTTATTTGGACTATTTCATTAAATTTGAACATAACTCTGCCATCATACAAACGATACGTGATCCCTTTCTCGTTGAGTCTCCATCAAACAAATGTTAAGACGAACACAAAAAATATCAAATTCCTTAAGATTGTTGGTATTACTGTGTTCAAAATCAGAAAAGTAAACAAACGTTAGTTCAATAAACAAAACGTAAAATAATTCCGAGCCCACTGAATGCACAATGTGTCCTTAAGGAATTTAATCCCCTCACTGTTGCCCAAGGTATACGGATTAGTTCCTCCCAGGATAGAACGAAATAACTATTCTGTTGATAGCGGCACTTCAAATCACAGAACTTCAGCGAACTCAACAAACGGAGCAAATTACACTTGACACTTATGTTTATTTAGAAAATAATGCAACAATGTAGAAAAGAGGGGAGAAGATTTCGGATTTTACATATCTGATTTCATGTCTAAAAATTGAAGCCAAGCCTCTAAATTTATAGACAAAGGAAGGGTGATATGGAGAGGTGCAATCTAAAAGGTGCCTCTTCCATTTCCCATTCACACCCCTTAATAAAAACGCAACAAGTATAAAATAAAAAATAATTATAAAAATTACATTAAAATCACAAAATCATAGCAAATAATCTATTCAAAATATTTATAAATTATAATTCAACTATGAATAATGCAAAAGTATGAAATATAATATACAAATTAGCTGCAACATTGTTACAGCTCAAATTAAACATCAAAAGTAATGTATTCGATACGAAATCTTATATGTATCTCTTAAGAAGTAATGAATCTTGAAAGAATTTCGATATTATAATTTGATATTTTTCTTAAAATACTCCTTTTATTTGATATGCTTTGAGAGAATTTATATAAAAATATAATTCACAATTTAAATATGATTCTCAAGCTTCGTTCATTTTTAAATTTCAACAAGTTCATAAAGTGACACATAATTCACCATACAATACCATGATAACTAATTATTCGTAAATAGTTACTAGTTAATACCGAGCTATTAAATTAATAAGTATTGTATCTCATAATGAGAAAAATAATATTTAGAAAAATAATTATAAAAAAAATTATGGACTATTATTTAGTAAAGACATAACAAAAGTTAATAAATAAATACATTCAAAATGTAAGATTTATTTAAAATTAAATATGATAGCAGTCTTAGTGGATAACGTGCAATAATTTTGACTTTAATTATGCCATAAAATACTCTCACTTAATGATTTATAATTAGGAAAAAAGTAATTTTGAATAGTGAACGATTTACTAAGAAAAATTGAGGATTTACAAGGTTAGTTACATACAATTGCATAAAGTTCTATTAGGCGAGCCCAGTACGCTGGGCGTTGGGCGTGACCGGGGCGTAAGCCAATGGCCGAGGCGTAAGTCTCACGGAACTAAGCCCCATACATAAGCCCAGGGGTTTTTTACGAGTGCTCCGCCCCGAGGCGAGCCCTGAGCGAGTCCTAGTTCTGCCTTTTAAAATAGAGGTTTATACACGTAAAGAGTCTGAACATTGCATAGAAACAGAGGCGAAGCTAAGAATTCAATTTTATGAATTTTAAATTTTAGAACGATCATTTCAAATATTAATGATTGAATTTTAATATTTAATAAATTTAAAAATAAAATATAATGTTTGAGTAAAAATTATTGGATTCGATTGAATCCGTAGCAGCGGGACTTCCACCTCCGCCCCTACATAGAAAACTCCGTCCAATCGATTGCATATCATCTAAATCCAGCGATATGGAGAAGAAGCCTAACAAAGTACAAAAGTTGTCAACCGTTTGATATTAAAGCAGCAGCAAAACATGAAGAGCACCAGCTTTCTGATTTCTGCTAAACACGTGTTTCTACTATTATAATCATTCAATATAATCACTTTAGTTGTATTTTCTTTTCCAATTTAAACGCACGTGTAAAAAAAAACACAGAGATGTGTGAGAGCATTCCGTAAATAAGAGAATTGGATTTAATATTGACTTGAGTGATGATTTCCTGGAACTTGAATAAATTTGAGTATTTGACAGTAAGTCTGTTTGGTCAATTCGCAAAAATTAGCTTATTTTGAAAATATTTTTTCTCAAAAATGCTTTTCTCAAAAGTACTTTTGATGAGAATCAGTTTGTGTTTTGCTAATTAATTTGAAAAACACTTCTGAGCAACAATTAATGTTTGACCAGGCTTTTAAAAACTACTTCTAAGTGTATTTTTCTCCATAGTGCTTTCAAAATTTTTTTTTAGAAAGAAACTACTTTTTTCTGCTTCCGCTTCCGCTCAAAAGCATTTTTTCTTCTTCTAAAAGCTTGGCCAAACACTTTAACTTTAAAAAAAAAACACTTTTTTAAAAAAAAAATAATTTTAAATTTGGGGAAGCTTGGCCAAACAAATTATTTAGTGATTTTTTCCACCGTAAAGAAAGTGATCCACTTCAAATTTAATTAAGTTTTATTGATTTATTATTGTCTATTCTAAAATGGGATGAAGTTCATATTCCAAAATGGTAGGGTACTTATACGGTTTTAAAAACATCTAACACTAATATTATCTACAAACTTGAACCGTATTTTGCCCTCGAGTTTTCAAATATGTTAAATAGGTTTTGAGAACAAATAATTTGATTTATATTACCTTTCTTATTATTTTTAGATATGTAAATCTTATTAAAGTAAATAAATCAATAATTGCTTTTGTACAAAACATTTTATGGATTAATATAATTCACTTAACATCCAATACATTGTTCTTGTTTTTTTCTTTTTGTTATGGTACTTGAATTATCTTAATTAAGAAAAAAACTTGGACTAAATATTGTCTTTTTAGTTTTATGTTTTAAAGCAAGTAACTAGTATTCTATGAATCTGCTTATAGAAATGCACTACTAAGACTTAATTGTCTAGCACACTGTGGGAGTCTCGTGCACTTTCTCTTCTCCTTCCCTAATCCTCGAGTTTAATATAAAAATTAATAAAAAGAAGAAGTATAAAATAAATATATCAGTTGTAAAATTATTCATTGAATTAAGTCCTGCTATATGGATTCTTCATGGGATGTTTCTCAAACCCAATCCTTTCTTACCTAAAACGTGATATTAATATTACGGCTGACCAATTGATATAAGTCACGAGTCAAACACTCAAAAAAATGGCTGCTCCCTTTTGAATATTGAAATCTTTTTTTTTTTTAATTTCCGACCACCCCACTTGATAAATATCACATAAAATTTCAACCCCAATTGAATCACAATTCTATTTTTAGATCTTGTCAAAATTTTCAAACCACCATGAAAGCAATTCACCACCTCCATACCACCCATCTCCACCAACTTAGCCACCAATTACACAACAATAGACTTTCCATGGTCTATGCCTACAAAGATGGTTCAATTGAAACTCAAAGAAAAACCTCAAAGAAATCAAATAGACTAGGTGAAACATTATCAAACCTTTTAAACATTCAAAAACCATACCAAAAGATCAATAATCATAGTACTTATTCAAATTGGAACACTTTGAACATTGAAGACAAGGCTAACACACCTACCATGTCACCTAAGGAGGACATATCCGATCGATGGCGTGACATTCATGGTGTTCAAGAATGGGAAGGTCTTCTTGATCCACTCCACCCATTGCTTCGTCGAGAAATTGTTAAATATGGCGAATTTGCTCAAGCAACTTATGATGCATTAGATTTCGATGCGTTCTCAGAGTATTGTGGAAGTTGCATGTATAATAGTCATAAGTTGTTTGACAAGTTAGGCCTTAGCAAAAGTGGCTATAAAGTTACTAAGTACATCTATGCAATGTCACATATAGATATGCCACAATGGCTTGAAAGATCAAAATTGACATACACATGGAGCAAAGATTCAAATTGGATTGGTTTTGTTGCTGTGAGTGATGACGAAGAATCGCGACGAATTGGGAGGAGAGACATTGTTGTGGCATGGAGAGGGACAGTGACACCTTCAGAATGGTATGAAAATATGCAGAGGAAATTAGAGCCAATTGGGCATATGGACTCAAAAGTGGAACATGGTTTTCTTAGTATTTACACATCTAAGAGTGATTCAACTAGGTATAACAAATCAAGTGCATCAGAACAAGTCATGAAAGAATTGAAAATATTGGTGGATTTTTACAAAAGCAAAGGTGAAGAAATTAGCCTCACAATAACAGGACATAGCTTAGGGGGTGCACTAGCTCTCCTAAATGCTTATGAATCAGCAGCAAAATTTCCAAGAATTCCAATTAGTGTTATTTCATTTGCAGCCCCAAGAGTTGGAAATATTGCATTTCGAGACGAGATTTACCAGATGGGAGTCAAAACTTTACGCGTTACAGTAAAACAAGATTTAGTCCCTAGAATGCCCGGAATTGTTTTTAATGAAAGTTTACAAAAATTTGATGATTTTACAGGGACATTGGAGTGGATTTACACACATGTTGGAGCAGAATTGAAGCTTGATGTTAGGTCATCACCTTATCTTAAAAGGGGATTTAATTTCATAGGGTTTCATATGCTTGAGACATATCTTCATTTAGTAGATGGTTTTGTTAGTACAAGTTCAACTTTTAGGTCTAATGCTAAAAGGGATGTGGCATTAGTGAATAAGGAATGTGATATGCTTGTAGATGAGTTAAGAATTCCTACTTGTTGGTATCAATTGGCCAACAAGGGGTTAGAGTGTAATTCTTATGGTAGGTGGGTAAGGCCCAAAAGAGATCCAGAAGATATTCCTTCACCTACTAGAGAAGATTATAGTTATGGATTTTGAATCCTTTTTCACTATTTAATTTACTTTGGTATCTTAGTTAACTTCAATTTTTCTCATTTTGAATATGATTTTTTAAAAAAAATAGCTGAAGCAATAGAGTGAACAAGGAATAAGCTTTAAAAAGTACACTAATAAGTGTAAAAGGACTCCTCGATCCGAAAGATGCCTCAATGTAAATGTGCCTAGCTAAGTAGAATAAGTGTGGGACAAGAGTTGTAAAAAAGTTGTGATCAAATAAAAAGTTGTTTGGGTCGGGAATATCAGCACGAAGTTGGGTGGGACGTGATGGCGTTCAACTTACCTTATCCGCTAAATAAGCCTCGTAATTCGACTATACATGCTAATAAGATTATTTAAGCAAACCAAGTACGAATAAGGTCTTATATTAAAATCATATATAAAATAGCTAACGAAAGTTTATCAAACTAATATATGAAAATCTAACCCATCAACGACAGTCATGAGCCTCAAAGTGTTACCCAAAAATAGGTTTCTCGGTCAAAGTCATTAACAGGAAGAAATCGGGGTACTGATAACCAAAATTTACTTCACTTTTTCAATAGTTTAAAGAATAAGACAAACAAAGGACATAATAGACAAGGAAAGAAAATTTGAAATAAATTGATAATCACTCCCAGAATTGCGGTTAAAACCTTATGAATAAAGTAAAGAATAAATGCATATATTTCAAAAATAATCAGATGTTATTACAAATGAAGACTAGGCTCTTATATAGGAGTACACAATTGTAATAACTTTCTTACTTAATTCGGTCTTGTTAATGGCATTAATTGCCTTGATTACCCGTTATCATATATAACTGTAACAGAAGCATTTATCACTAATGATTTCACGTAACCACGATTAATGTCGATTTTCCTTCCTTATTTATAACATATTCGTGCATCTTCCTTCTTTAATGGTCTTTCTACATTCCGTTCCTATTTCTTCTTTCCCAACTGTCAGAGCCGGTTCCTTTCCTAGAGAAAACCCGGGGGTGTTTCTCCCGTGCCTTCTTGAATTCTTTACCCTATCTAATTAGAAATGACACCTGTCACTTTGTTGATGGTCCACGTGTCATGCCCTATCACCTTGATGATAGTCCACATGTCATGCCTTTTTTCCACCAATATAGATAGTCCCCCCACTTTTTGAATATTTGGAAAGTGGTAAGTATTTACGGAGGGAATTCTTTGCCGCCGTTTCTCGAGTATCATAATGCCTTTTTCGTAACCGATGCAACATACGTCACGTCCTTTTAATATCCAAGACACGTGCCTTACCTTGATTGGTTCTGCATTTTTCAGCGCTTTTTAGGGCTTTTCTACGTCTGCATCAGTCACGGAGTGATGGTTCCAGTATGACAGTTCATAATGATCAACTTTAATGACGGTTGCTTCTCCTTATAAATACTTCGTTATTGCTTGAGTTTTGAAAATATCTTCCCTCTACTTTGCATTCATCTCCCTAACTTTTCCTTGTACTCCTTCATCTTTCTTACGCATTTTCTTTATCAAATATGTCTTCCTCTATACCAGACCTCGTAAAGTTATGATGATTGATGAACTTGCTCCTTCTACTGCCCCTACTAGGAGTAGGAGAGATGGTAGACTCCAGTCTTCGTTCATTATCTACTCGCAGTTCTACTCCCCAAAGTAGTTCTATCAAACTATTTTCTTCTAGGTCTAAAGCCCCTTTAACTCCTACATCTTCTTCTAAGGATAGGGATCAAAACAAACCCATGCGTGAGCCTACAGTTTCTGAGATTGTTCCTCAAGAGTTTTCTTTCGTGTCAGATTGTGAAGCCATGAAAAAGTAAGTTTCTTCTATAGCTTCCCTTAACCCTGCTGAACACTACCCAAGTTTGATCACTCCAGTACTTCTTTCTTTAGTTCGACGTGAATGCCATTGGAAACCAAATTTCCTAGTTTTGATTCCTGGTGCCAATCAAAGAATCACTTCTTACCATTCTGGCTTTTCTTTTGTTTACACTATCCTTTCACTTTAGGGTTTAAAACTCCCATTGACCCAGTGATTATTGAGTTCTATCGCTACTTCAATGTTTGCCTCGGTAAAATCGATCCCATTGTGTGGAGGGTAGTTGCTTGCCTTTGCTACTTATCGGATTTGGTTTCCGCTCTTTTTATCTTACGTCACTTACTTCACCTTTATTCTCCAAAATTGTTTCGTGAAGGTGTCTTTTCTCTTGTGGCTAAGGTAAAATAGTTTTTGTCAGCCCCGAGGATGACCGTGATCATGGATGGTATGTCCGATTTGTTGCTGCCCCCACTAGTTGATTAGTAGGTAATGAAAACATATCTTTTCTTGAAAAATGAAACTTTGAACATAAGTATTTCTTTCTTTTTCTTTCTTTGATGTCTTGAATTTCTTTACATGATCGTGTATTCAATTTTCCAGCAACCATGGAAGTTTTTGAAGAAATTCCTATCTTCCGTACTTGGGTAGAAAACATGTTGACTGCTACTCCCAATGGATAAAAGATCTTGGAAATTTCTCATAGATTTGGATGGAAAGTGAAGACTCACGGTACCTTTTTATTCCCGGGGTTTCTTCCCTCTTTGCTTGTTTTCCTCTCTCTTTTATCGTATATAACTTTTTCCTTCCTTTTTCTGTTAGGCTTTGCCATTCGTGGCATCTACCCCTCATCTGTTCCCTCAGTGAGGCTTTCTATAAGCTCCGCACAAGAGCAAATTTTGAGCATATCTTCCTCCAAGAGGAAAACTGCCGAAGCCCACGGGTCTGATGATGAAGAGGATACCGAAGGAGGTTCCTTAGTGAGGAAACCGCGAGTCAGAAGGCGCGTGGTTTCGGATGATGAAACCCGTGTCTCTCAAGATCCCCCTTCAAGTTCAATTCCTTTCAGTCTCATTGACGAGCCAGAGAATATCCTTTTGGATATCTCTAATAAAGATATTGGTAACTTTGACAAACCTCCCTCAAGCCCTGTTGAAAGGTTATTTGCTCTTGGCTTTGAGGGTGAAGAAGGACTCGGGCATGTATTCAAAGAGCCGCCGCTTGCCTCTCTTCTAATGTTGCCAGTTACTCCTATTGTTAATCCCCCTTGTTTCTTTGCCTACAGTTACCTTAGTGGTTGCACCCGCTGCTGCCCCTCATGAAGAAGCTGGGCCTTCTAGCGGCAGAGGGTGTATGAAATTGTTTTTGATTGAAGTCCTCGATGGTGGAAATTTGTTCAGAAAATCTGGACAAGTTTATGTGTGGCTAAAATCGTTGCTAGGGCCCGTGGATAGAAAAACGTTGGAAGGTCACAGTTCTTTGACCTTGATGAATGACATCTTTCACTCTTCTCTTAAGGTATATCTTAACTTGTCCTTTCCTTCTTTTCTTATTCATAACTCCTCTTCTTTTGTCTTTTTGTAGATCAATTTGACAGGTACAGAGCTTATAAAAAGGATTTCTTGGACTGATCAACAGTAGTTGAGTTGCGCACTGAGGCTGACAATTGGAAAGAACAATTTGAAGGCCTTCAACTTGAGAAAGACGTTCTTGCTAAGGAGAAAGGAGCTTTGGAACTACAACTGAGGATGGTGTCTGCTGAACTAGCTGTTTTAAAAGCTTCCTCCAATCAAGTTGAGAAAGATAAGGACATATTGGAATCTTCCTTCTCTGATCAACATTCCAAGACTACTGAGGAGATAAGGAGTTTGAAAGATCTCTCCTTAATCAAAAATAGGTATATGCGGATGATCTTGTACAAATGCTTACTCAAAAAGACCTCCGTGCCTCCACATATAAGATTCAGTTCCTTGAGAGTTCTCTTACTCCTTTGAACGCAGCTTATGAAGCCTCGGAAGCAGAAAAAGAGGAGTTTAAAGTTGAGATCGAGCAGTGGGAGAAGGATTACAAAGCCCTTGAAGATAAGTCAACACATGATATTAGCTGGGCTTTTTCTGAACACTTGCTTAGAGACTTTAATTGAAGCTAGCCATAAAGGTTTTGACCTTAATGCTGAGATTACAAAGGTTAGATAAACGATTGAACAGACTCAGCAGCGTCAAAGCTTCTCTACACCCGAGGACGAAGGTTCCAAAGGTGATGGTGATGGGCTTACTCCTGGTGAAGCCGATGTTCAACCCTCTTCTTCTCAAGTTATTCCTTCTTCTCCCGTGGATGATGCTCCCTAGTTCTTCCCTTCCTGACTTTTTGTTAAAAGTGTTTGCTTTTTATTTTTATTTTTGCTGGAATTCTCTTGTGTTTCTAGATAATTTTTGGAAGATTTACTGCCCCTACTTTTGGGGTAATGATATAAATATCTTTTTGTTTTTGCTGCAAATTATGCTTTTTGCTCTTTGACTTTTTGAGCTTATTCTGGCACTTAAAATGCTTTAGTAGACCATGACTTCAATATGCACGAGATTTTATAAAAGAGGGCCATTTTATATTAACAACATTGATGAAGATGACTATGAAACAAGAAGTAATTTGAGGAAGTTTTGTTTTTTGAACTTTCAAATAAGTAAGTTTGTAGGCCATTTTCATAACTGTTTGTACATCATTATCGTAACTGCTTTAATTGTAGCATGTTTACAAGTTTAGGTATATCCTCCCATGACTAAATTTATGGCCTTAGCCTAGAAACTCGTGGGAATATCTTGCATTTTTTTGCGAGTTTGAACACCTTTGAAAATTTTCGAAATTAGTTCTTCAAGGTTTTGATTCAGGCTAAACTATGCACTTGGTATACATCTTCTTCCTTGTGTAACCTTCTATATGCAAAGTCCCTCCCAGTATTGGAGCATTGAAGCATGAAATCCCGAACACTGGATCAACTCTATTCTTTTAGTCCTTTTTGCTGAAATAGGAAAATAAATACGAGACTTGGAGATAATCTTTCAGATGATGATTGGATAACCCTTTTTCCATCAGAAATTTGTAACCTAGAGCAGGAATAATTCAGTATTTCACGTGTCATTCGGGTCTAATATCATCATTTGGTACGGGCCAACTTTTTGCCTATCATCTAAAATGGTTAGTAAAATTCAAA